TTGAGAGAGAGAGCCAGAAAGCACACATGAGCAGGGCAGGACCAGCAAGAGAGGAAGAGAGAGAATCCCAAGCAGGCTTCAAGCTGTCAGTGCAGAGCCCGACATGGGGCTCAATCTCCCAAACCTGTGAGATCGTGACCTGAGCCCAAACCAAGAATAGGTCATTTAACTGACTGAGCCACCCAGGCACCCCTAAAATTTGGGTTTCTTGATGGGATTTAAAGTTTTTCATAGAACTAACAATAAATGTAAACCTGAACTATTATGAATTTGGAAGTTTATAATCTCTAAATTATTGGTAAAAATACATTCTGCTTGATTTTTCCAAGACCCCAGTTGACTATCCTTCCCCTTCCTGTTTTTTGAAACCAGTTTTTCAAAGACACTTAATCTTTATATCACCTCTGGACCTCAGAGGAACCACAGATACCATCCCATCAGGATGTCAGGTCTATGTCAACTCAGAATTCTCCAAGTAACTTTCACAGAACTTTACTCTGGTCTTGGGTTCTATTTCCAAACCAACATACAGTATTTAAAGAGTGAGTTTTTGCCATAGTCATTTTATAGGCTGGTAAATGGAGGTGAGACCCACAGAATTAGAGAAATCAGTAGACCTGAAGTGATTATAAGGAGAATAAAAAGCAAGGATTAAAGTTGAAAATTGTTTCAAAGAAAGGAATCCACAAAATTGAGTCAGTATATAGAACAAGTATGTTCTATACATAGTAATGTACTATACATAGTAATGTATAACATATACGGATGGAAAGGAGAGTGGACAGACTCAGAGAAATGACTTCAGAGAAGATGCCAGAATTTCTTCTGGTCTACAGTGATAGTGACAGCTTTGACAAGGAAGCAAGCTGGGAAAGTGAGCCTGGTTACTAGGCGGGTAAAGAATTTAGTTGACCTGGAATCATAAAACCTTTGACCTGGAGAGACTTAAGTGATCTGGCTCAGCTCCTCAAATTTGATGGTGACTATAACTTTGGCAAGCTAGCAATGTAGCTAATAACTAAGTTCTTCTTGATACCTAAACAGTGGAATCCAAACTTGTTAGCCTGGCCTTTAAAAAAAATTTCTTTTTAATATTTATTTTTGAGAGAGAGAGAGAATGGAAGAGAATGAGAGAGAGAAATAATATGAGTGGGAAAGGGACAGAGAGAGAGAGAGAGAGAGAGAGACAGAGAGAATGAGTGGGGGAGGGGCAGAGAGAGAGGGAGACACAGAATCTGAAGCAGCTCCAGGCTCTGAGCTGTCCGCACAGAGCCTGACGTGGGGCTCGAACCCACAGACCATGAGATCATGGCCTGAGCTGAAGTCGGGCATTCAACCGACTGAGCCACCTAGGAGCCCCTAAGCTTGTTAGCCTGGCCTTTAAAGCTCATTAAAAATCTTTCCCGCAGCACTCTAGCCAGCATGGTCAAGTTGTTGTCCTTTATAAACGTGCCAGCCCTTTTTGTAGTTTCTTGTCTAGTGCTCTCCACCTGTCTGTTTCTTGCCACATTTGGTACAATGAAATCCTAGACCACCCATCTCCACAGTGACTACACCCTGCTCTGAGACTTCATAAACCTTATAACTTGTATAATTCGTGTTACTTCCAAATATTTACCACTTTATGAACTCATTCTGTCTCCTCAATTAGATTATAAACTATTCTGCCTCCTTTGCTAACTCCTTTTTTCTCTGGATCTCTGAATGTTAGTGTATCTCAAAGACATAGAGCACTTTCCATGAATCATCTCCTTCCCTTGTGTGATATTAGTGAAAAGCCCAAGGGTCAGAGGCTCTGTCACCTGACTGGTTGGTTGATAACTGGTCAGATGTTTTGAAATCAGAGCATGTCATTGTTTTTTATTTGTAAAATAAGAAGGTTGAATTGGGCTTCTCTTCCCCCTGTTTTGTGGCTTTACATTTTTCTGATTATAAAAGCCATATTCCTATTCTTATAAGTAGAAGATCATAAAGAAGGAGGGGGACAGCGCAGGGCATGGGGGGGTGGGTTACAAACCTGCCACCCAGAGGACACACTTTATATGAGCGTGAATATTTTTTTAACTCCTATTAGGAACGTATATATTCATTTAGGGATTTTAAAATACGATACTGTCCATCTCTAAAATCTTGATTCTTTTCTTGCCACTAAAGACATCAATATAGTATCTTTTTAAAAAGATATGATGGTACTACATTTTGGTACTTGACCCCACAAGTCAGATTAAGTGTATGACCAAAGATTTCCAGTCTGTGATACATTTAGAAGGATCCATTAGGTCCTACAGGACGTAAAAGTCCCAATAATGATTCCAAATTATCTTAAAGCAGAAGCTTGGTTCCAGTGTATATATTCCATACTGGAATAAAAATACATACAGTTCAGCACAGTGAAAACGTAAATATTTCTTGAAAATTCCCTTTGCTATAGAATTTCTCGTCTTCTGTGTACATTTATTAGAAACAGAGGTCCTGGGCCCAAAAGTCTTTTCTGAAAGCTAGAATAGAATTCATGTAATGGAAAGGGTAAGAGCTTTAAAATTATTGCTAAGGTCCTATTGGAAGTTGGATTCTTTCTATAGCAAAGTTGTTGAATTACTTGCCTAAAGCAGATTAATTAACTTTTGGTATATAATTAAAGAAATAGAAAACGTAGGCAGGGTTTTTTTATTTTGGATCGCTACCATCTCTAATCAGTAAACAACGCAGAGCTTTAGGTTTCTACATCTTACACCAACAGACATTCTGGGTTTTTGTTTTTGTTTTGTTTTCACTACCTTTTAAGGGAATTCCAAAAAGAGAAAATTATTTGCAGTTTTCCTAGGAAGATTAAACTGACTTGGAAACAGTCTTAAAACAGTAGTTGGGGCTCTCCAAATAAAGAATGGCAATTTTTCAAATGCCTGAGAAAGTATAATAAAGTTCCCATAAACTCATTAAAAACTTGAAACCTGATACCTACAGTGTGGTGTTGTCATCTCATTGTTCTTTAGGTCTGTCTGTTCAGTCTGAGTTGGAATATTTTGTGCCCTTACTCTGAAAAGGCAATTCACTTGGCTTCACCTTTGGCATTTCTTGGCTCAGATGAGTTTCACGGTGGTAGCTATAAAAATTGATTAATGAGGGGGCGCCTGGGTGGCTCAGTCAGTTAAACATCCTACTCTTGATTTCAGCTCAGGCCATGATCTCATGGTTCGTGAGTTCAAGTCCCACATTGGGCTCCTTTCTTGCTGACAGTGTGGAGCCTGCTTGGGATTCTCTCTCTCTCCCTCTCTCTCTCTCTCTCTCTCTCTATGCCCCTCTCCTGCTTGTGCGTAAGCGTGCTCTCTCTCTCTCTCTCTCTCTCTCTCTCTCTCAATAACTAAATCAGTCTTTTTAAAAAATTGATTAATGAATTACATTCTCAGAAGAAACCTAAAATCTGTGGGTACTGTCTAGTTGCAGTAAAGTTACACACCTTTTGAAATGGAAATGATCAGCAAACTTGCAGCATAGAGCTTCAGAGTCAGTTTCCTAATTTTGGCCATAAGTATTCATAAATAGAAGCTATTTCTCTTATCCATGTAGCAGACAGAACTTATAAATTAGGCTAGCTACCTAGAAGCTTGCACCCTTAGTTCACAAGCTACTCAAACGCACTCAAAGTTAGAGAGGGAGAGAGCCAAACCATAAGAGACTCTTAAAAACTGAGAATAAACTGAGGGTTGATGGGGGGTGGGTGATGGGCATTGAGGAGGGCACCTGTTGGGATGAGCCCTGGGTGTTGTATGGAAACCAATTTGACAATAAATTTCATATTTAAAAAAATGTATTTCTTTTATCTGAAGGGGAATGGTCTCTTTCCAGGTTTTAGTTTTAAGACTTCAAAATTGTAAGGAACTGTCATTATGATTTCTGTATTGGCTTATTTTAGTGGTGAATTTTTCCATCTTAAAAACAAAACTTGTTGCTTTTTTCCTTGCTAAAACTTGGCTTTTGTCATGTTCAAGAGTTATGTTATACTTGTTTATTCATTCTCCATATATGTATTTAGTGACTGATATGAGCCAGGCACTGCCCAACTCTAAATTCCTCCAACTAGCTGTGTGTGCTGTCTGTACCCTGCCCTCCTCTCACTTACCCAGTCTCTAGTTGTCTGTCCTTAGTTCCCAGTCTTTGCTTTATACCTCATATCTTGCAATGCTTTTCTGAAACACATCCCCCTCCTTCAAGTGCTCTTATAGAAAGGTTTGATAAGTCATTTATTATATAGTGGAATTTAAGTCATTATTTAACCTCCAAAAAGCTTTTACATTTTGACTTTTCCTGTAAATGTGAATGAAAAACTATTTTTGAAAGAATTGAGCTGTGTGCATGTATGGAGGTATTGGAAGGGCAGAGCGCCCCCTGGTGATTCATTTGAAATCACACCAAATGAATGGCCCTCTGCCTTCCCCTCCCACCTTCATACTGTCTGTGCTCCTTCCCATCTCCATAGCTGTGCAGCTGTCACTCTTCCTGCTTGAACTGCCTGTATCTCTTTCCCGCAGCATTCAGCTCAACCAATCCTACATCCTTCCTAAAGGTTTTTCTGTGTCCTCTATCATTCACTTCCATTCTGTGAGTTCCTCTGTTGTATATGGTCACCATCACTGAGATTGGCACTTAATTGTTCTTTGTTTCAATTGGCTCTTTTCTTCTTCCCCATCTCGAGTATAATCTTGAAAAAAATTAATCCTGTCATCTTAACTTTGTGTTTAGATGGTGCCTAGCAAAGAGACACAGTTGGCATTCAATGAATACCTAAATAGAAATGAGAACATGCCTAGGCCCACATATTTATATTGTATTTAGCAATACTCTGCAAATGAGTTCATCCTTCATTAGAAGGACACATGTCATCATGTCATACTTCAGGGCATTGTTAAAATTCGTTAAAGTTTTTTAAAAGGGAAAAAAGCAATTTTTTTTTCTTTAAGTGCTGACATCTGAAGAAAATTTTGATTTTTACTTCTTAATAGGTGGTTTGTTCTGGATGCAGAAACCAGAGATCTAGTTTCTATCCACACAGATGGGAATGAACAGCTCTCTGTGATGCGCTACTCAGTAGGTAGGCAGATTGACCCCCATCCTGGCATTCACAGCATTTCTCTGAAAGTGCATTTTTTCACTTCCAATAAAACTATTTTTTTTCCTACTCTCTAGACTTGTTAAGTATTGAATATGTTTCCCCCAGTATCAGATTAAATTCTGCAGGAGACTGCAAAAGAACTTCTAAAGTTAAACAACATTATAAATCATCAAGCAAATTTAGAACAAACTGTTACAACTGCTTTTGCAATTGAAAGCAGAATATAGTACAGTCAAATCCCATTGTAGGGGAATTACACACATACATAGAATTTTGGATAGGTATTAGACTGACTGTTACATCTATTTAGCAACCTTTTTTTATATGTAAGAAAATAGAAATTATAGTAATGTTCAAAATACACTGTGATAGAACCTATTCAGGTTCTTTAAAATCTAGTTACATTATTACTGGCTACATAGTAATGATTGGTTTTGTTACTTAGATAAAATACTCAGCTCATTATAAGAATTTGATAAATTCATTTAGCCTTATTTGGATAATTCTTTACACCTTATTCAAAATGTTAATTATGTTCTCACAGTATTCCGATTCCTTTTCCCCATTATTAATATGGTTTTGATTCATATTCTTCCCTGGAGTTAGTGTGAGTGACTTTTGCTTATATTTGAAAATCTATTCCAGTAGTTGTTGGATCAGTGTGGGATCCAAAGGATTTTTTTGATTGCTTCTAAGTTGTTTCAAAGGAACCACAGAATACTGTTCTCTGAGTTGAACGTGGAAGGAAAAGTATTTGCTTCAAGCTATAAGCCTGGCAAGTTATCTTAAGGCAGAAAAGGTATTCTGTTTGGTTTTTTAGTCTCTACTAACAAATTACTGCAAGTGTAGTAGTTAAAAATCCAAAGGTCAGTTAGACTTTATTGACCATCTGTTAAGTGGTAAGAACAATAGAAGAGACCATGAAAGAAGAGAATATAGTCCATTCCCAAGAGACTATAGTTAGAGAAGTCATGTATGCTCCACTGAAATGAGCAATTGTACCCTCGGCTTGTGAGTACTGGGTACCTAGACCCATAAGACAGGTTAACCTTCCTGGGGCCATATTGTAGCTACCTAGAAGAAGATGAGGCTAGGGTCCAAGGCCTGTGAGTTCTCTGAAAAAATGACTGTTGTTCAAGTGCGCTTAGTGATGGAAGGATTTATTCATCAAATACCAAATACCAGTTAAATTCATGAGATTTAGCAACATTTGTAAAATAGCATTTAATACAGGTCAATAAAGTAGCAGCAAATGAATCCATCAGTACATTTCTCTAGTTAACACTTTTTCCTGTCTCATTCTAGATGGCACCCTCCTGGCTGTAGGATCTCATGACAACTTCATTTACCTCTATGTAGTCTCAGAAAATGGAAGAAAATATAGCAGATATGGAAAGTGCACTGTAAGTGGTTGAAGTAAAATAAATTAAGCCGGAAAATTGCTGGAAAATTTTACTTCTGTTAAAAAGTTAAATGTTTACATTGATGTTTCCATTATTTTTTATCTTTCACTGCTTTAAACTTTAATCTCACTCTGTGAAAATGAAGATTACTTGACAGCAAAATACTGCAGTTCCCTGTGTGCTTTAGAAATACTTCTTCTTTTGGGGTTCCTGGGTGGCTCAGTCGGTTAAGCATCCAACTCTTGATTTCATCTCAGGTCATGATCTCAGTAATGAGATCGAGCTCCGTGTTGGGCTCTGTGCTGAGCATGGAACATGCTTAAGATTCTCTCCCTCTGCCCCGTCCTTTGCGCGCATGTTCAATTTCTCTCTCTCTCTCTCCCAGCCCTCCCCGCCCCCCATCTCAAAAAAAAAAAAAAAAAGTTTCTCCTTTTGATGGGAGTTTAATACTTCTTTTTGACTCGATTTAAGGCAATTTCTTAAACCACAGCTGTGTCTATAGGAAACCCTTAGAATAATAACACTTCTTGAAAATGGAGTAAGTCAGAAATGAAAGGGTAATCTCACTTTTAATCCCGGTGTCCCACATTCTTGCCCACCCCCAACACCCTGCAGTTTCCTGTGTCACCTCTCTTACCACTAAAAGTAATTTATTAAGAGAGTTAACAGAAGCATATTTCCTTCAATTTGTTGTCCTGATTGAGTAGGTTATCATTGTAAGGTAAAGATTTGATTTAATTCTGTGGACATACTGAGTACTTACCTTATTGACAGTGTTCTGCTAATTTAAGAAATGTTCTGGACACCAGGAATATGAGATTTTTGTTTCTTCAAAAAGTATACATTTGAGCTGAGGGCAGGATAAGAAAGGCAGGTAGTATACTATAGTGTCAAGGGCACATATTTGGGATCAGACTACCTGAATTTGAATTCTTATTTCACCACTTACAAGCTAGTGTGACCTTGGGCAAGTTACTTAAACCTTCTGTTTCAATTTTCATCTATAAAAATGAGGATAATAGCAGTTTTCTACTTCACTGGATTAAAATAAGTTAATACATATGAAGTATTTCAAATAGTGCTTGGCAAATAATAGGTTACTCAGTATGTGGTAACTATTATTTTTATAGAAAATGAGGTAGCATGGTGTGTGTGTTAGGAAATTAGGGCTAGAAAACTGATGAATTAGTGATTAGTGGCAGCACAGATCCAAAATAGTTTTAGGGAGAGAAATAAAAGAATTTGTTTTTAGAAGCATGTACATGAGCAAAACCCATTTACTAGTCAGAGAAGAGGCTTGTTTATTTATTTTGTGTATGTGCACCTAAAACCAGCCTATAAACAGTCTACAAGCAACCTCAAAGTTTTAGAATTTATCCAAAATTATTTTTTTTGCCTTGACAACAATTATGAATCATTACCCAGTAACCTGTTGAAATCTCTTTTAATTGATTTATTATCTTCGTGATATGGAATAGTACAGTAATGCCTCTTTGCACCACATGAGTAAGTGAAATGCTCCGCTGAAAGGAATTTTCGGTGACTGAGGTTTACCCCACCAGGCACCAAGTTTTTAATTATTTTTTACCTCAACCTTTTAAAAAAGTCCATGTCTTAGTAAACAGAGTATATCAATTATAATTTAAAGGTGGAATCATAAAATTTTCCAGGGAGCCTTGTAGCACACACTTGGCTCAGCCCTCATTTTACTGATAAAGAGACTGAGTTTCAGAAAAGATAAAGGACTTGGCCTTGGTTGCATCTTGACATGGTGGCAAACTTGGGGCCGGAGCCCTCTTCTCTTAGTACGGCAGACTTTCTACTGTAATGATAATGCCTCAGGTTTTTCAGTATTTGTCTCATTGTCCTGAGAATGACCTTGAGAGTGTTGAGAGATGTCTCAATTGCATGAGACTTAGCCTTCTCCAGTTAAGCAGCTTTTATCTTGAAAGCATTTGAAAATATTATTTTGAGATCTCCTTCGGAACTGTTAAAGTTGATAGTGCTGTTTGAGCCTGTAATGAGAGGCTCAGCTACTCTGCTTTTCTAATTATCTTGTGTTTTGTACTTTGCTTCCAGCTGTCACTTCTCCTTGCTGTCTGCTTCCACCAGCTGGTGTTACAGTTTCATGTTGACCGCTTTTATCTGGTGTCTGTTAGGGTAGAGGACAGACAGAACCGAGCTAATGCTGGTTTTGCCGGTAATAGATTTGACTTTAGGCCAGTTAGTTAACTTCTTTAAATCTTGATTTTATTATCTTAAAATTGGACATTTTAATAGTTCCTACTGTATAGGATTGTTGTGAAGATTAGGAACTATTCACGGTTGCAGATACAAATGCTGTTTTCTATTTCAATTCCAATATTTTCCTATTACTAGTCAATATTTTAAGTAACCAGCATAGCTGCAGAAGCCTATTTATTTAGAATTTTTAGAGAATGTCTCTCTAATGAATTAAGCAAGCAGTTGGAGCCTGTCCCTCTTGATGGCATCACTTTTTGTGGAAATGTCAGATGAGAAGATGACTGGTACCAAGAACACCAAGGAGCATGTCTCAGTAAAAGGCAGCTAACTGATGATGTGTGAGTCCCTCATCGGTGGCTTGCTTGACAAGGTTGTGACAGGCCAAGGCCTTGCTCACTGTAATAAGCTAAAAAAACAAAACAAGACCCTTTTAGAGACATGGACTTATATCACACAGGTTCTCCTGTGTAAAATACCGATTTACAAGAGCTATAACTGATAAGGGACTGAATCCTAGTTTCCTCTGGCCAACCAGCTTTCCTCTCCATAAGCAGGCCTCAGGAAACCAACTCGTAATCAGAATGCTAGTTTATTCATTTAAAATAAGATCTATAAATGCCAAGGGAACAGGACATGCACATCCTCCAGCCAGTACTTCCCTTTAGACAAAAATTGCATGTGTAACCAGAGTATCATGAGGAAGTGAGCAAGCCTGGCACCTCGATCCCCAGTAGGTCAGTAGCTTCCCCTGGAAGTGGTCCTGGTTCAGGTCCCTCTACCCTAGACCTTAGGTGGTACTGTCCACATTTGCCTCTGCGGCTCTGTTTACGTGCTGACCACCCTGCCGCCACCACCTGCACAGCACTTGCTGTGGACAGATTCATACGTGCGGTCAGGTTGTACTCTAGACTTGCTGGCCTTGGACCTATTAGGGCTCTTGTTTCTTTGCTCTTTTCTGCCTTGACTTATTTGATGTCAATTCTAAAGTTTAATTCCCACTGTAGTTTCCATAAACACACAAAATTTATTCTTCCATTTCATTGAAATTTACATGCTGTTATGTAGCAGATATTCCCCCTCAAACGCCTCAAGTTTGTTTCTACACATGTGGTCCTGGAACTTCTCTTTGAAGGAACCCTAGTGATCTTCCAAGAAATGATCTTCTCTCCATGAGCCTGACCTCTCTGGGCTGGCTGAGGGATAGAGAGGAAGAGACATAGAATGGAGTCATCCTGGGGCTCCGGGGTGGTTCAGTCAGTTAAGCGTCCCACTTCGGCTCAGGTCTTGATCTCACGGTTCAAGCCCCACACCGGGCTCTCTGCTGTCAGCGTAGGGCCCACTTCGGATCCTCTGTCCCCCCTCTCTCTGCCTCTTCCCCACGCTTGCTCTCTTCCCTGCTCTTTCAAAAATAAACATTAAAAAAAAAAAAAAAAAAAAAGGAATAGAGTCATCCCTCCATACTGTTTCTGTGTGGCAGCCTTTCATTTTCTCTTCTGTGGCCTGCCATCTCACTTCCTGTGTTTGCTCCTGGGAGCACACCATCTTCCTGCTGCCCTTGGGTTCTCCACATCCCCTCCAGCACACACCCTGGGCCTACTTGACCAGATCTGTGGCATTTTGTGCCTCTCACTCAGATCGTATAAGTTAGAATGACCTTTTGTCTTTCTTTACTTCCCATGAAAGCATCCATCTTCTTAGTGTTTAATACAGACAAGAAAAAGTGGTCTGACTAACCTGTGGGATTCAGGGGTTCATGGTTATATCATATATTCACTGTATAAGCAGTTTGATTTTATAACTGCTGCTATGGAAAAGTTTATAAAAAGGCTTTGGATTCAGAAGCTCTTTTTAACTTCTGCAAAGCCCCAGGGTTTGGGGGTGGGGCTGGGCCCGGCTAGTATGGATCTGATTTTCTTTGCTTTGTATATGGGGCTTCTCTTGATTTTACAGCTTAGAAGAATTTGAAGACTGCTGGTTGGTTATCTGAAATACCTTTGAGGATTGTGAGGTTTTATAGTTTTGTTGCTTTCCATACAATGTTTCTTTACCTCAGCTTTTCCTGTGCTATTTTGAAAATGTACTGAAAAAGTCCTTACTTATAAATTCTTTTTCTGAAATGCTACTTTTAAATTACTTTCTGCTCATCTTCACTGTTAGAGAAATGAGTAAAAGATAAGCATGATTTAAATGCTGTGTTTCATTTGGTCCAGACGTCTCTGACCTGGGCTTAAACTCTGGCTCCACCAATTCTTTTTTATAATAGTGACTTCAGAAAAGTTATGTAACCTCTCTTTGCCTCCTGGACTTGCTCATCTGCTAAGTGGGCGTCCTCCTGTAGGCTCCTGGAAGATTGAGAGTTGACCGTGTATGCCCTGTGCATAGAATGTTCTCTGCTCAGTGTTGGGTGCCATCAGCAGCAGCATTGTTCTCAGTAACTAGATGAGACAACCCCGGGTGTTACATAAGGGTGTCTTTCAGCATTTAATATGAATCTATGAAAGTTCAAAAATAGTTTTCTAATTGTGGATAATTGTGTATTTTCCTTGAAAGAGTTTAAGTGTTCTGACCAACCTAAAGTTTCTACTCTGTTTGCAGTGGGATGCTTTTTTTCATGATGCCTTTTTTTTCTTTTTTTGAAAATTTTCTAAATTTTATTTATGTTTATTTCTATTTGAGAGAGAGAGGCTGGAGAAGGAGCAGAGTGAGGGGGACAGAGGATCTGAAGCAGGCTCTGCATTGACAGCAGAGAGCCTGACATGGGGCTCGCAATCATGAATCGCAAGATCATGACCTGAGCCAAAGACGGGCACTTAACCGACTGAGCCACCCAGGCCCCCAAGGATTAAGATGCTTTTATTCTGCCCCTGAATGCCAGCACACTGGCGTTGTCTTTGACTCCAATTCTTGGTAAAAGGATTTAACACATTCTGATTCCTTAGCGTAGAAAATGTAATATATTGAAGGTGCAATGGTGTACTATTACAAAGTCTGTCCTGATAGGAAAGAAATGCTGGTAAAAGTAAGGTCCTTTTTGCCAGGATTTTGGTAATTGAAAATATACATCAAAAAGAAAAGCATAAAAGGGTCTTTAACAGTCTGCTTAGAAATCTCCAAGAAAACGGGGCACCTGGGTGGCTCAGTTGGTTAAGCATCCTGTTGATTTCAGCTCAGGTCATGATCTCATGGTTCGTGAGATCAAACCACACATCGTGCTCTATGCTGACAGCTCGGACCCTGCTTGGATTTCTGTCTGTCACCCCTCCCCTCTCTCTGCCCCTCCCCCACTCATACTCTCTCCCTCTCTAAATAAATGAACATTAAAAAAAAAATCTCCAAGAAACTAATCCAGTATGGGATTAGGATTCAGTGTTCGTGTAACAGGATATATTGCGGTAAAAAAATGAGGGATGTGTTATCATTTAAACAAAAGTCATCAGGGACATAAGATCTTCCTTTCTTTGTATTCTGCCAGTCTCCAGTCATCAGATCTAGTTCCAGGAGGAGAGGATCAGAGCAAAGGGAAAAGACACTGCTCCTCCTACATCAGTTCTCTTAAAGTTTCCCTAGAAGCCCCACTCAGTGATTTCTGCACCACCTCTAGCTGCAAAAGATATTGGGAAATCCAGTGTTTTAGGTGGGCTCTTAACAAAAGGGTGGCAGAAGTGGATTGTATAGGAGCTAGCAGCCTATTCTATAAAGAATAACTTTCGCTCAGGGCTCCTGGCTGGCTCAGTCAGAAGAGCATGCAACTATTGATCTTGGGGTCTTTGAGTTCAATCCCTATATGGGGTGTAGAGACTAATTAAATAAATAAAACTAAAATAGTAATAATTTTCCCTCAAACCAGCAAAAGCACATCAGAACTTTGATGGGGGAAAAATCCTGTTTGCAGTAGCAACCAGAACTGTAGATGCTTTGAGAATAAACCTAGCAAAGTAAAGCACAGGAAACATGGCTGAAAAAATAGTTATGTTTCTGGATCAAAAGATTTGATAAAAATAGCTGTTCTCTACAAATTATTGTCTAAACTTGATGCAGTCCTAAATATTTTTTTAAGTTTATTTATTTTGAGAGAGAGAAAGCACAAGCTGGGGAAGGTCAGAGAGAGAGGGAGGGGGAGAATCCCAAGCAGGTTCCACGCTCTTAGTGCAGAGCCTGACATGGGGCTCGAACTCCTGAACTGTGAGATCATGACCTGAGCCCAAATCAAGAGTCAGACACTTAACTGACAGAGCCACTCAGGCACCCCCTTATTTAAATTTTCAACATGTTATTTATGAGCTTGATAAAATGGTTTTAAAGTTGATCTGAAATTTTCCACATACCACAAAACTATTAACAGTTGACTGGAGATAGGCAGACTAATGGAACAGAAAAGAAAGTTCAGAAACAGGTATCTGTTTGTATCGAAATTTACTAGATAAGAGATATTTCATATCAGTAGGGTAAGAATGGACTGTTCTCTGCATTTTCCAATATCACAGCTACTAACTACAATTTTCCATTCATGAAATTAAATACAATTCAGTTCCCTGGGAGCACTAGCCATATTTCAAGTACTCAGAAGCCACAGGTGGCTAGTTGCTGCTGCACTGGACTGTGTATGTCCACACATTTTCATTACTACAGAAAGTTCTGTTAGCACTGCTCTAGATGGTAAGGGGGAGTCATGTCTGGTACCTACTTACAAGGAAAAGGTGAGATCCCTAACTCTAGGCCTTGGAACTTTTTTAAAAAACTCCCCATATAATTTTTAATATATAGCCAGGGTTGCAAGCCACTGGTGTAGATGGTCTTCTAGTTGACAAAGATGTAGCTAAAATATCTCTGATTTTTTTCAGAGTAGTCGTCTTGGGTTCCATCGCTTGTGATTATTACTGTGATTATTTAATAGCAGTAATGAAAATTCCGGCTTAGAAAATACTTTACTGTTTCTTTTCAAGGAGGTATAGTAAAAGAAAAAAATTATTTTTTTGAAAGCGAGTAGGGGAGGAGGGATCTTCCTAAGCAGGCTCCATGCAGACTCCAGTGCAGAGTCAGACGCTGAGCCAGCTGAGCCTCCCAGGCACCCCACAAGTGTACTAGATTTGCTCCCAACTGTGTGTGCACCCTTGGGGTGGTATTTGAAGCTACCCTCCCCCAAGCTGTGCCTGTACCTTCCATGGCCTATGAGTTGGGTGGGGCAAGGACACTCTGAGGTGGTGTATGGGAAGGTAACATTACAGATGCCAAACAGTTGCATTTAATCTTTTCTTTATTTATTGGAATCCATATGAGGGAGAAAATACTCACTTTGTTTTTCTGGTATGAACTGATAACTTCCCCAGGGTCTTTCCTTTATTTGGGTACTTTTGCTACTCAGGAGTCCTTTTTGAGAATACTTTGTACTGACCTTCTAAGTATATTATGTGTCCAATACAGATGGAGCTACTTGAATATTATGTATACATACAATGCTTTTTTCTTTTTTTTTTTTTTATGTTAGAGCGTGCGAGCGCAAGTGGTGGGGGCGGGGGGCAGAGAGAGAGGGAGACTGAGAATCTGAAGCAGGCTCTGCACTGCCATCACAAAACCTGACATGGAGCTTGAACCCACAAATTGTGAGATCATGACCTGAGTCGAAGTTGGACCCTCACCCAACTGAGCCACCCAGGCTCTCCTACATATAAGCTTTTGATGCTCTTCTAAATAATGTTATTAAAGCATTTTCACAGAGATGCAGATGATATTTTTAAACACTTCTACGTTAATGTGAATGCTTCTTGGGGGACTGCACTTTGCCTGGGTAATCTAGTGAGATCGGTCCTTCATGTAGTTTTCTTATCTGAGAAGCACGGCTTCTCCTGACACCAGAGCCCAGCGCCATCAGACTCATGTGCGCCAGGAAGAGGATTTGTGTGAACCCCATCCTTCTGCCATATTCAGAAAATATCCAGTAACCACATGGGTCTTTCGGGCTCTGAAAATTGATTTCTTGTTAAGTTGGTAGATCTGCGTTGTGCCTAGCAAGTGATTCCAAACCTGTTTTCCAGTATACCTCCTCGTCTCTGGTGAGTTCAGGAGCTTCACAGTTCTCAAATTCCCATAATTTAAATTCATTTAAATGTATAAATATGTATACTTGCCATACAGCACTGTGAAGGAGATCTTAGCTCCAGGCAGGTGTCGTTAGACTTCAGGAGGATAATGGAGTAATTAGAATGTTTTGTGTGAAACATTAAAAGCTGTGCCTAAGTTATTTTTGATTTTTTAACTTAAAAAATAAAATCATGGGTGCAGAAAGCTAGTAATTCAAAAAGTACAATAGAAATTAAATACGTTTTACCACAGATGGTAGGAGATAGAAGTGCTTTTGAGTCTCCATTGACTTTGGTAAACCATTAAGACCTGTGTGTGATTTATCTTAGAAATCATCAGATGCTTACATAGGAAGCCAACAAAATACAGCATTTAGTGGTTTTTTTGTCTTAATTCCCACAGTGTTAGTAAAACCAGAGCAGAAAAAGATCACGGTCTTGGGGCACCTGGGTGGCTCGGTCAGTTAAGCATCTGACTCTTGATTTTGGCTCAGGTCACGATCTCATGGTTCAGGGGTTCGAGCCCCACATCACACTCTGTGCTGACAGCACAGTACAGAGCTTGCTTGGGATCTTTTCTCTCCTCTCTCTGCCCCTCTTCCCAAGCTCACTTTCTCAGAATGAATAAATTAAAAAAAAAAAAAAATCACTGCTTAAGGAGTTAATTAGATTGGATCCACTTGTTCTGAAGGAGTACATGTTGGGTGAGTTTTCCCCAGAAATACTCTTTGAGAGTTTTTCTAGGAACCCTCCATACGCCCATATACGTGTGCCATATTCCCCAGCCTCTGGGGTGTACCGTGGATACTAAGCAGCAGCTCCTGGAACCATTACTTCATTCTCATAAATGAAGTCCCTCTAAAGGGGACACCAGTGACTTGAAATAAGGCCTGAGGATATGGTTATCTGTGAAGTATCCTTTAAGGCACAAGTTTAAGAGACTCCTCATTCTTGGAAGTCTGACACAAGTAGTCGGTGCTCGTGGCTGCTATCTGCGTGGAAAGGCCAACAGCATATTCCCAAGTTCCAAGTGTTTCCACATGTTTCCACTGTGGTGAGATCTCTGTCTTCCAGAGTTCCGCCACAACTCCTCATGTATCACTGGCATCTTTAAATACCTGCCTCTTGGGGCGCCCGGCTAGCTCAGTCGGTAGAGCATGAGACTCTTAAATACCTGCCTCTTCAGTTGCCAGTGAGAGATGGTGAGAAAGAACTAAAGACCTGTTGTGAGCCCTGTTCAGTTCTAGAGGCTGTGATACTCCTCTCTGTACTTTAGGAATTCCAGATGAATGGCTACGCAGAGAAAGTATTGGCTAACTATTAAACGACTTATTCAAAATACTGCTTTCCTAATCGTCGCTCTGTTTTTCTCTAGGGACATTCCAGCTATATCACACACCTTGACTGGTCCCCAGACAATAAATATATAATGTCTAACTCAGGAGACTATGAGATATTGTACTGTAAGTATGAACAACTAGATAGGGCTGAGATGGGTCTGTCGGGCACAGATGAACAGGCTGTGCAGAGAGTGCGTGCTGGCCTCTCTGATTTGAGAAAGCACATGTTACTCTGAGCTAAGGAATGAGACTCTCAAATGTGGTTCACTTCTCCCAGAAAGTAATGAATTAATTTAAATATGTAGATATGTAGTCTTAAGAAATTACTCAGGGAGATTGCTGCTCTCATACAGTTTTGTATTTAACAACTTTTCCTGGAGACAGGAAAAAGTATAATGGATAGGCATTTACGCTTCTTAAAGAAGCAAGAACAATTTCAGTGGGGAACAAGTTTGTGGTTCTGTGAACGGTAAAGTGAGCACGTTCTTTTCCTTTTTAAATGTGTCTTAATGTTTTTCAGTGTGTGGATTATAAATACAAGTAAACGTGGCTAGTTTGAATCAAGATGCACTTTCAAATACATTTGTACACAGGCACTATGATTATACTTCCTGTTTCTAAATTTAAAGGGGACATTCCAAGTGGCTGCAAACTAATCAGGAATCGATCAGATTGTAAGGACATCGATTGGACGACATATACCTGCGTCCTAGGCTTTCAAGTCTTTGGTAAGAACATGACACCTGATGAGGAAAAGGTAGTTTGTGGGGTTTTTATGTATAATACTTACTTGGTTAAATTGCTAAGTGAAAAGTAGTCTGCATATGTTCTTCAGTGTTGTCGCTACTGATGCCAGACTCAGAGAAATTAAGTGTATTAGGATTGAACCATTGTGAAGTGTGTTCTCTGCAGAGTCCAGCAGACTTTTGGTCCTCAATAAATATGAAAGACAATTAAAAGGAAAAAAAATTTACAATAATAGCACAGATTGTCTTCCCATGTTTTTCCTCCAAGTAAAAACTGAATTTTTTTTAATTTGTAAATTTTTAAAATAGCTTTATTGAGCTATGATTCACGTACTACATAATTCGTCTATTTATACAGTACAGTGGTTTTAGGATATTCAGAGTTGTGTGGCCATCAGCACTGTCTGCTTGTAGAACATTTTCCTCACCCCAAAAAGAAACCCTCTCCCCATTGGCAGTCACTCCCCACCTCTCCCCCTTCCTCTGCCCCCAGCAGCCACTCATCTGCTTTTTCTCTAATGACCTCTGCCTATTCAGTAATTTGTATAAATGCAGTCACACGATATGTGACGCATTGAAACAGGTTTCTTTGCTATAGACCGTTTTCAGGTTTCATCCACATTGTAACCTGTATGAGCACTTCGTTTTATGGCTGAACAATATCCCGTTGCATGCAATATGCATGCACATTTTGCTTGTCCATTTATCAGTTGATGGACTCGAGTTGTTTCTGCTTTTCAGCTGTTATAAATAATACTGCTGCAAACAAGCATGTGCAAGCTTTCGTATCGGCATGTCTTCGTTTCCCTGGAGTATATATCTAGGAGTGGGATTCAAGGGTCAATTGGTAACCTTGTGTTTAACCTTTTGGAGAATGCCAGACTGTTTTCCTGAAGCGGCTGCACCATTTACATTCCCACCAGTGATGTACGAGGGTTCTGTTTCCCCACATCCTTGTTAGCAGTTCTTACTCTTTTGCATATGAATGTCCAGGTGTCCCCCCACCATTTGAAGTATAAAGGCATTTTTAGTAGATATTATTTAAAGATAAAATTTGGAGTGCAGGGGCACCCAGGTGGCTCAGTTGGTTAAGCATCCGCCTCTCAATTTCAGCTCAGGTCATGATCCCAGGGTCATGAGATCAAGCCCCATGTCAGTCTCCGAGCTGGGCATGGAGCCTGCTTGGGATTCTTTCCCCCCATCCCCCTGGTCCCTCCACTTGCATGCTCTCTCTCAAAAAAGTAAACACAACTGCTGTAGAGATGGAGGAGAGTGCCTAGACTAGCAAGAAATTTAAAAAATAATCCGGACTAGTCCACATACAGTTTCATTACTCTGGGTGAAACTGAAGCAGTAGCCAATGGCTGGTAATTTACCTAGTTATTTAAAAAAAATTTTTTTTAATGTTCATTTATTTTTGAGAGAGACAGAGCACAAGTGGGGCAGGGGAAGAGACAGAGTCACAGAATCTGAAGCAGGCTCCAGACCCTGAGCTGTCAGCACAGAGCCTGGAGCCTGCTTTGGATTCTGTGTCTCCCTCTCTCTCTGCCCCTCCTCCGCTCATGCTCTGTCTCTGTCTCAAAAATAAACATTAAAAAACTTTTTTTTTTTAAATAAAAAAAGTGTTTTGACTCAGCAAATTTACCGAAAACTTATTTGTTCTTTAGAATAGCACTGAACCATAGGAGGCCAGCATCTCAGCCCTTATACATTCCATAAGTTCCATCTAGTCTAATAGAGTTTTGTGCTAATTACATTGACATGATCACCAGTGCCTCATAATGATTCAGAGTAATTAAATTTGTAATGTCTCTGGACATAAATCATAGTTATAGGAAAATTCTGTGGGGCAGCATGGTAGACTTGTAGATGGCCTATGCATTTCTATTGAGAATCTTCGAGGTTCTCTTCAAGTGTCCACCTGAAGGGAACAGCAGAGAAGGAGTGTGTGCATTTTACACAGTTTCCCCAGAGTCTCCTTGGAAGAACTAATGCTATGGCTTTCTTTCCGTACCTCACCACACAGCTGAGAATTTCCCCTCCAACTAGAAACTTTAGAAAGAGCTTATTTGCAGAGGTGAGTTAAACTAAAACAAATGAGTGCCACCTGCTGGTTACTAGTGAGTACTTTTGTGTCTTTAAATTTTCCGTCTTGAGGCTATTTTTGGTTTAATTTTATTATTAGATTTCGGGTAAAACTTCATCCTTTAAAAGAGGTGTTGCACTACTAAGAAATTTGTAAGGAAAATGTTAGCAGCTAAGAGTTTGAACACAGATGAAAGTAAGATTCTAAAATTAAATAAGCCTATGTAGTATCACAGTTATATTTTAGACTAATTTTCCTCCACCACTGTGTTTCCGTATCAAAGGTGTCTGGCCAGAAGGATCCGATGGGACAGATATCAATGCACTGGTGCGATCCCACAATAGGAAGGTGATCGCTGTTGCTGACGACTTCTGCAAAGTCCATCTGTTTCAATATCCCTGCTCCAAAGCAAAGGTAAAATCAATATAATGAAAACTAGTGTTGTAGGGCCTTTTGTTGGGGGCTCATTTTGTGTCAGTGATGAGAAGGTATGTGCAGAGTTACTCATTACTTCCCGTGCTGCTGAGGTGCACAGAGGGACAACAGTGCCCCTTGTAAGTGTCCAGGCAGGCCCTGCTCCTTTTAAGGTCAAGCTGGTGTTTTATTATTGTTTATCATCTGCTTTTTAAATAATTTTTTAACAGGTTTAATGTCTCCTAAACCTACTAACATACTTTGTTACACATATGATCACCATTATAAAGCTACGGGGTCAGGGTGCCTGGGTGGCTTAGTCGGTTGAACATCCCGGCTCATGATTTTTGGCTCAGGTCACAATCCCAGGGTAATGGGATCGAGCCCTGTGTTGGGCTCCATGCTGAGCATGGACCCTGCTTAAGATCTTTCTCTCTCCCTCTGCCCCTCTCCAATAAAAAAATATTAAAAATAAATACATAAGACCAATGGGGCCATTTTCTAAATCAACTACAGTCCTGCCCGCCTAGTAAGTTCTCCCTTAGCCATCTCAGCAGAATAATTGCTAATGTCTGGTAAGTATACCAAACTGATATCCAGAAGAGACAGACTGTTCGTTATTTTTTAAAATATATGGTCTGACGGTATGGATGTGTGTCCAATTATTCTGTTTCTCCCGTATAAGTAGGTATCGAAAGGAAATTGCTGCTAGTTCGGTTCCTCAGATTTGATGACTGTGGCTTTGGTCTGAATTACTGTTTCAGAAACTGAATTACTTCCCTTACCTAGTCACTTTCATTGCTGTAAGGAGGCATGTAAAGAATGAGGCTAATTTTCTGGTCTGATTTGTTTCACACAGGCTCCCAGTCACAAGTACAGCGCCCACAGCAGCCATGTCACCAATGTCAGTTTTACACACAGTGACAGTCACCTGATTTCAACTGGTGGAAAAGACATGAGCATCATCCAGTGGAAACTTGTAGAAAAGTTATCTTTGCCTCAAAATGAGATCGTAGCCGATGGTACTCTAACCAAAGCCCCCATCTCTTCCATTGAAAGTGTCATGCAGTCTGATACTCCCACACCGCCTCCTTCCCAGCCCTTAAATGAGGCAGCTGAAGACGAAAGTAGAATAAGCAATTCTCCCACACTTCTGGAGAACAGCCTGGAACAGACCATGGAGCCCAGCGAAGACCACATCGAGGAACAGAGTGAAGGGGGCAGCGAGGACCTCGGTGAGCCTATTTTTGAGGAGCCATCCAGTGAGATAAGCAAGGAGCAGAGTGAATCTGTTCTTACCGAGGACCGGCAAGGCCCCCCACCCCTGTCTTAACACCAGGGCTTCAGCGCGATGCTCTCTCCTCCTTCAGCTGCATGTGATCTTGTGACAGAGTTCAGATAACAGGCTGGGAAGCGACGCAGATCACTATTGATTGCGATTTGCGTTTCCACACGATCTGTTTTCAGTGGTCTTACCTTCAGTCTCAAATGCAGCCGACCATGACGGTTGTTTGGTGTGTGTTGAAAATTAACCAAACTCTTAATAGCGAGAGAGACTGAAACATTACTGTCTCAGAAATGACCATGTATGTAAGTGGTGTGATGTAAATACTGGAAACAAAAACAGCAGTTGTATGGATTTGAAATCAACCCCTTGTTATCTGAACAAGTCTTCAGGAACAACCAGAGGCATCACAAACACTGTTACTCATCTACTGGCTCAGACTGTGCTACTTTTTTTTCCCTGATGCAGAAAAAGAAATCAGGAAGAAAAAAACGCTCTCTTACTGAGCTATCCTCCCACCCCAATTGTCTAGTGGAAATTTTTTAGTTAAAAACTTCAGTCTTGCCACAAGCGATGGTGTTGCCTTGAGTCCTAGCGCCGTTTGCTTCCACTAGCGGTAGGCGTCCAGATGCTGCCTTTCTAAGTCGTGATGAGGAACAGTCCCTTGATTTCTTGTGTGCAGACCTGTTGTATCTGAAAACTAAGAAAGCAGTGGTTTGTTAAAGAGCTTTTAATGTATATTAAACCATTAATTCTCAGAAATAATGGGTTCCTCCAAGGATTCCTTTACTGGCCGAAACATTTTGTAATGTTTGGCATCCACATGAATGGAAGAAAAAACCGCATGCCTATAAAACTGTAATAATTACTTGGCTAATTTGAACTTAGCCTTCCTCATAATTTGTCTCTTTCATAACAGGAGAAATACAAATACAGTAAGTTTGAATCGGTGCTTGAAATTCATTGGTTTTATTGTAACTTTTATACAGATTACATTGAGGGATAAGACACTCAGCAAATTACAAATTCTTTTTTATAGAAATATAACAGTCACAGTCATTTTTTATAAATTGCATACTTAACAGACTTGCTACATATGCTCATTTTTCTCTGGTAGAGTTGCTGCAAGGCCTTGCAGTTCTGACACGGCTGCCCTCTGCTGTCATGGGCAACGCGTGTGTTATGCATTGGAGAGTAGGGGGGTTTTGTTTTGTTTTTGTTTTGTCAGATAACTATGTTTTTCTTAAGTACATGTTTCCTACTATAAAAATAATTACTGACAAATACGCATTTCCTATATATTTGTTTATACATTGATTATAAAATACTGTTTTGATTTATTTTTTAACTTGCTGAATTGTTCTTTTGTTTTTTGTTGGTTTTTTTTTGTTGTTAGACCATGTTTAGAAACTTTGAATGAGTTCAGAAGTCTTAAGTATAAGTATGCAAGTGTTTACGTGATTGTGCCATTCCAAAGTGCATCAGAACTGTCATTCCCTTCTAGTATCTTCTCAGGAGTAATACAAATCAGGTATTTCATCACCATTTGGTAACTAATATACAAACTCCAGTGAACTCCCAAGGACACTCACAACATTTATATTCACATGCTGTATGTAAGGGTGTGGGTATGTGTGAAGGGGTGAGTGTAGACACTCTGTGTGTATCTATAGAAGATATACACCACATTGAAAATACTCAGTGTATATCTCTATGTGTATAGGTATATGTCCACGTATATCTCTTTCCTTTTGTTTACAGTTCAAAAAAAAACCTCAAAGGAGTTCTCTTCAAAAGAAGAGACCTAGATTCCAAGCAATCCACTTTTCAGTATGTTCTGTACATAATTATCAGAGAGCATCAATAAATGCCAGGCATATATACTTGCCTATTAGCGTAACTGAATCATCAAGATCAGCATGTGCTCCTTCCCTGCAAGAAAAATACTGAGATGAACAAGTAGTTCTAGAAGAAAAAGCATTTCTTTACCTGGGAGATACAGCTCTCTCCGATCAGCAGGGAGTGTGCCTGGGACACCAGTCACCGTTGCGGTTGCTGTGTACAATGAGATTTATGACGGTGATACTCTTGGGTGGTAGTTTCAAAAGACACTACTAATGCGCAGAAGCGTTCCAGCTCTCTCGCTGGCAACTACTGTTTAATGGTCAATTAAATCTGTGATAATGGTTGCAGGTGGGTGGGATTATGAAATTGTAGATGTTTTTAGAAAAACTTGTGAATGAAAATCCAAGTGTTTCATGTGAAGATGTTGAGCCATTTCTATCATGCATTCCTGTCTCATGGCAGAAGATTTTGAAGATTATGAAATAAAATAATCAAAATGTTTCCTGTGTCTTGACTCTTCCTTTGCTTGTGCTGCTCGTCTCCACGCTGTCCAGCCATCAGCTGACCACCGCTTGTGGACACAACCATCCTGGTGGGAACGAACTCCCATCTCGTTATGTTAGAGGAAATTACTTCTCATTTATGCTCCCACTTAACAGGCGAGTAGCTTCATTTTCATTTATTTCACTACGCTTTCTCATATTTAACACCGGATAACCCTGGTGATCCTGGCTACCTGCCGGACAGACTCCCATCACCGCTGTCACCGGCCCCCCTGTGTTGTGCAGGGACCCAGAGCCTCCGTATGCCACAACCATACGCCGGCTGCTACGACTTTTTCGCTCTGAAAAGTCAGATCGGGAGCATTCCATACCGTCCTCCATTTTAAAGGCACGGAGATGATGGGGTTTTCATCGTTTCCTCATTCATCCGCGCTGACCCTGAATCTTGTGTTCGCAACCGCCCACAGACACGAACCCCTGAGGGGCTACCGTGGGGTAGGGATTACTTACCTCACCGATTCAGAGACAGAAGGGCTGACACATCTGAGCAAACTCACTGAACAATGTGATTTTTTCCTCTCAATAACATAAGGGGATCCCAAAGGGGGAAATGATGATGCATTTGATTCTGAGCACACTGAGGTGTTGGTATAACTTCTAGAAGGAATTAGGTTTCCAGCTTAGAGCTGACACTGAAACAGAGTTCAAGAACATGTTTCTGTTCTTGACAGGCCTGAAGAGCAGACATGTAGGACTTGGGGCAAGGCGAGCTGCCGGCGGGGCACCTGTGTGGCCCAGCGAGGTCCCATCACCCTGGCCCTCACGTGCCGGGAGTGTTCCCTGCAGGCGAGGAGAAGAGCTGGGAGACTGGGAAGTGGCCCGTGTTCCCAGACTTCGATACCGGCCAGGACTTCATGTTTTGTAACCTCAAATCTTGCGCCTCTGCTACTCAAACTAGGAGACAGACATGCTTTAGGAACAGGGAGGGAGGAGGAGAGAAGGAGGGTAAATCTTGGGAGAATCGGCCAAGGGGCTAGGGAAACAGGGAGCCTGTGTCCATCTCCGACTTGGCTGCGGGAGTGAGCGGGGGAAGCCGCTGCCCGCAGGCTGCCCGTCTGTCGCCAGCATGGAAGCCTGTCCCTGCTGGAGAAGCCGCCTTGGCCTGGGACGCCCAGGACTGGAGTCCTCAAGGACCACAGAAAGGTCTCAGGCATTTTTCCCAAAAACACAGATGTAACTCTTTGTAAAGAGGCAGCTCCTGCTCTCTTCACGGGGTCATGCACAATGTTACACTTTCTGTGCTAACCGCTTCACCTATTCCAAAGAAAACCTGAATTTCTACTCTACGTGCGTTACTAAATCCCTACGATAACCCTTAATGCTCTGATATAAAGAAGGCAAAAGAATAAAGAGAATCCCAAACGGAAAAAAGTCTCACCGTCTCTGGAAACGTCAGCTTGTTTCACTTCTGCATCCCTGGGTGACACCCTCGGGAGACCGTGGCTTAACTGAACCGAACACGTTTTTGTGGTGGTGGTTTTTAACCAATCCTGAAATATGGCAGAAAAAACTTACTGGTGCTACTTCTGTATCTCAGAGGACGAAAACAGGAAACGGGCAAAAACAAAAAACAAATGCTCCGTGGCTAAAATCCGGTCCCGCCACATACCTAATTGCTGTTCCACGGTAACAGCTGGCACCTCAGATGACACGTGCTTTCCGTGTGTTAACTCATTCAGTTCTTCCAACAATCCTAAACTCCATTCTCTCCATTCTACACACAAGGCAACTTGAGGAACAGAGAAGTCAGGTCACACTACTAGCAGGTGGCTGAGCCAAGGCTGGAAGCCAGGTCCTCCGGCCTCCAGGGTGACCATTTAGTCGCCGTTAATACAAAGGATGAACTAGGTTAAACGAATAGCAAGCATTTCGAGCAGCAGAAGGAAAAACCACAGGAAGCAATCAGACCCGGAGAAGACAGCACAGGGCTGCGAAGAGAGTCACAAAGGTGAAGGGACCCTTCTCATGCACAGGTGCCCTCTCCCGCCGCCCCTATAACCAGAGCGCAGGGCAGAGAAGCTTCCAGGCCCTTACACCATCCTGCAGCTGCACCTGCAGCCGGCAACTGCCTGCTCTTCCTGCCGCCTTTGGTCATAGGCACACGTGTCCTCCGTCCCTAGTGTTCAGTTTAAACCTGTTTGTGTGGCGACGCTGCTCCCTCATTTTCCAACCTTTGGGCAATTTCCATTACACCCAAAAAGGAGCGTAGCAACTTCTGTCATTAGCCAAGTGCATTCTCCACTCTGTCCCCACTCCCCATCCCACGGCAGGCCCCGCTCGGCCACGGGGCTTTGATCTTGCACCTCCTGTCCCTCAGCAATGTAAACATGTGGTCCTGAAACTAGATCTTCCTAGGGAGCCGCCCATCGACACAGAGATGAATACTCGTAATCACGGTGCTGATGGCTAAACATCTTAGTGGGATGACACAAAACCGGCTCCAGAGGCAGATTTCAACTCCTGGCAGAGTTTACTTTCCCCAGATCTCACAACAGGAACGGCAAACACAGAGGGTACCAGAAGAAATGGTCCCAGGTGGGAAAAATAACCTTTCAGTAAAAAGCCAAGCCTTCATACCTGATCTTCCCGCTTCATTCTGGATGTTCACACAGCCACCGGGCCACAGCGCTCGGGAAAGGT